GCCCACACTCAGCGCCGGATTTCCATTTTGGGCGCCTGTAGGCACGAATGGAAATCTGTTTAGCCTGAGCTGGCGCCCTTATCTGCTGCATGAACCGCCGGCTTTCACATATGGAGAGAAAGACACCGGCATTGTGTAAGGCTGCCCTAAAAGCCCGTCCACATCAGACAGGCATTTTACAAGGCAGACTTATGCAGCCCCGGGGTTCTTCCCCTACGTTTGCGGAAGCTGGCGGTTCCTGTAGGCGCCGCTGGCCTTGGAGCAGGAGGGTACATTTTGTGCAGAATGCACCCTCCTTGCTATTGCCGGTGTTTTATCTTGACATAACACCGGGAATTAAGCAGAGTAGGTACCTGCATGACGCCCCTCTATGGAGGGCACCTGTAGGCATGTGCCAAAACCAAAAGGGACCAAATAAGAGAGGCTCATTGTTTGGATTTACATTAAAATTCCTGCAAGTTTTTGTTTGTGTGGCTCTGACCCTACTGGGGTTGTTTTCCCTCAGTTCCTGTACCTTTTGATGCTCATACAAGAAACGGTGGTTGTCACTGCTACAGAAAAGTACGGACAGCAATAAAAAGATTATCAAAGTTTCTATCCTTTCCTCAGTATACTAAAGATGTTTTTTCCATTTTGTCGGTGTCCTTGTTGGAGAGATTTTGTATTGCTTACTGTCCTAAAAGGAATTGAAGATAAATCTCCCCAAAGAGACACATATGTCAATAAAAACCTGACAGTGACTCTAAACTTTCCCCACATCTAAAAGTAAAGAGTTTTAGCTGGAGTTGGCCTTTAGGTAAATACTACAGAGAATAAACAAGTCACAATGAAATACCATTCTCCAAGATGGTGAACATGATCCTTCTGGCTTCCTCACTGAACTCTTGGATAAAGAATTGACTCAGGGCAGCTGCCATCCTCACAAGGTCATCCTCATTGTGCAGGGCATCGGTGATAAGGTTCTGTATCTCTGATGGTAACGCTGGCACAGCTTGTAGTCTTTTGGAGCCATCAATTTTTTTAATAGCTGTTATAATACAACATAAATAAACTGAATGTAATAAGGCAGTGTTAATCTAGTCGACTAGTAATTTTCATCATAGTTTTATATTAATCTATTGACATTTTCGTCAACTGACTAAAACTAGACAAAAATGTTAGGGAGGAAAGAACTGGGAAAAGATTAAATCAGAATGAATCTCCTTGGACGTAAATCTGCCTCTGTTTTGCTTGTTCAAACCTTACTACCATAAGTAATAACAGGTAATAGTTTACTCCAGGAGTATATCATGAGATTGGACATTTTTAAATAATGCATTACACTTTAACTAACTTTAAATCTACTGTAGATTTAGTCAACTAAAATCTTATAATATTCAGTCGACTAAAACTAAATCAATTCAGATGACTAAAATGTGACTAAAACTAAATGGCATTTTAGTCAAATGACTGACTAAACCTAAATCGAAATGTGCTTTTAAAATTAACACTGTAGTAAAGACAAGTTTCTGACGGATCAATATCACGTATTTACCTTTAGATGCATTGCTTTAATAAAACCGATGTTAAAGAGAATCAAAGGTGTTTCTAAAAGCAACCAATCAGATCCTTTAATTTGATTCTAAACTAGAATCCATGAGAGATATTGAAACCCATTTGGTGGAGAATCTATTTAGCATCTTCTACAAACTGAAATATTTGTTTTGGAGGGGCAAAATCATTCATCTATTTACTACTATAGTAGTTTGCTCCCCTTCATGGTAGCCAAACCGCATTTTACATTATTCATATGTATTAAAAAAATCTGCAGTACATGTATTTGTATGACACAGTGCCGGCCTAATTGAAATCACAGTAAAAGATACTTAGCTAGCCATTGTACTAATTTTTTATAGTCTTGTCTCCACTTTCCTGTTATAATAGTTTTGCAATCCAAATGACCACATAATTCAAAAGACCCGGTCAGTCACACAACTGTATTTTAAGAACTACAAGTCTTTGTGATTATGCTTGTGATCAGGGGCATGGCCATTACTCATCCATGCCAGCATAGAGCACTGGGTAGGGTGAACATGTAGCATTTCCACCAAGAGAAAAAAAGGTATTCCAAAATAGAATGTTAAATAAAAATGAACATTAAATGAAATTTCGAATGACAGTTTCTGATGTTCAGTTCATGAACGTTCATGCAAAAATCTACCTATGTATACCCTAACATAGTAACATAGTAGGTAAGGTTGTGTGTGTGATTGTGTGTCTGTATTTATATTGCTCTAACACTTCCATATCCCTGTATATTAAATAATGAAAGAAGGAACTCATCAAGAAGTTTCTTGGATTTATTAACGCTATCAGCAGATACCACTGCCTGTGGAAGGAAATTCCACAATTTAACTACTCGCACAGTAAAAAAAAAAAACCTACGAATTCTAAGATTGAATCCCCTCTCCTCTAACCTCATGTTGTGTCCCTGGGTTCTCAATACTGTTTTTGATTTGAACAGTTTGTTCCCAATATCGTGGTCCCCATTGATAGTTTTAAAGACTGCACTAAGGTCCACTCTTAATCGCCTCTTTTCTAAGGTAAATCAGTTTAAATTCTCATAACTCAGGCGTTAATTCATTTTGTTGCCCTGATTCATTTTGTTACCCTACTTTACTTTTGTAGGGGTGGAGAGCTTGACACTACTTATATATTTCCAGTATACTTTGTTGAGTTTTCTAGAGACAATTTTCTTAATTTCCAATAATTAATTAAACAATTAATTTACCTAGCTCCCTAAATCAGGAACACTGGATATTTACATAGGAAAGAAGCAATTTACAACAGAGATAATACATGTAAGCTTTAGGGTTTGCAAGACTTGAGGATGCTTCAAGCATGGTCGGTTGAGGACCTGGTCTTGGAGGGGGAAAAAAAATGTTTTGGATTTTATTTTTACTTAGAAAACTGACGGCCAATAAACCAGTAGTTTCACTTAGCAGCGACCACACATGCTGACCAAATGAGCTTTTGATTTAGCCATAGGAAAATATTCAAAAAAAGAAAATAGGTATAGATAGTAGACCCTATTTTCCAGTGACATTTTACTACTCGCCTATTTCCCGGGGGTCTTTGCCATCAAGAGGTCCAGCAACTGCAGAAGAAGCAATTGTCACAAGAGCTGAGGTTTTGCAGACTTTGTGGACACTAGCAAGATCTCTGGTAAGCTGCTCCAGGGTTGCATCTTTCCACATGGAACCTTTTTGGATCAAAAAGATATTTTGAATTGTTATTGCTAAAAGAGCTGAAATACAAGTAGCAATGATCTAGCAGTGAGAAAATGTACATGATTAGATAATATTATGTGTTGTGCTATCTAAAATCTAAAATCTTGACAGATAAATATGATATCCAAATGCTATCATATGCTATCATATTATCAGCATATGATGACATCATGCTAGAAGGACGTGAAAGCTTTGGTTGGACCAACTAACCATTTCACCATAAACATGGCAGCTCTTACACTTTGTGCCCTTATGTTGCCGAACATAAGACTTCTGATCATTCACTTACAGCATTTAAAAGCTTGCAAAAGTTGTAACCAGTGGCGGAACTACCAGGGTCGCAGAGGTCGCGGCCGGGCCCTGGAGTTCCGCCACTTGGAGGGAGGACAGGAGAAAGGGGCCCCTGGTGACCGCTGATTACCAGTCCCGGGACCTCTTCCTCCTGTCCTGGGCCCTACATGCTTTACGCTGCTCCCCTCACCTTATTCCGGGCGCAGCGTGAAGCATCATCCAGCCGGGCAGCAGCCAATGAGTGGAAGCGGTGTAATCCCTGCCCCCTCATCACACAGAACTGCTGCCCAATGCCGAATAGAGCTGCTGCGGACACGATGGGGGAGACAGGGAGCTGGAAGTATGAAGGAAGGTGACATGGGGTCCGGGAGCGGAAAGCTGGGGACATGAAGGGGGAGATAAATATGATATCCAAATGCTATCATATTATCAGCATATGATGACATCATGCTAGAAGGACGTGAAAGCTTTGGTTGGACCAACTAACCATTTCACCATAAACATGGCAGCTCTTACACTTTGTGCCCTTATGTTGCCGAACATAAGACTTCTGATCATTCCTTACTGTTGCCTTGATGAAGTGGACAAGATAAGATTTCTGTTATCATGAATTCTCATGATAGTGCTGGCAGCATTTTGACCGCACCGGACCGCAGGCACAATGTGCCCTGCGATCCCGTGCGGGCGATCACATTGCGGCCGCTTCAGCCCCACTAAATAGTGAGCCGGCCGCAATGTGATGCAGTGCGTTCCGACCGCAATCGAGCCGGAACGCACTGCATATGGTGTGAATGTACCCTCCAGAAGGAAGGACAGTGTCAGAGATGATTTGAGGATCTACATCCAAGTTAAACACAAATAAGATACATTATTGTTAATAGTTAAAGTACTTGAATGTATTTTTACGATTTAACTTCTGAGTCTAGTGTCACTTTAAGAAAAATACTTGGCTTGCAAAGAGGAGTCTGACTACCTAAATCAACCAAAAAGCCAAGAAAACAAGCCTGCTGTGAAGCCAGGAATTCATTGCTAGAGGACAAGTAATTAAAAGCTAGAAGATGCATTTTCCTTTTTGGTGTCCACACAAATTTACTAATTGTTTATGGAGGAATTGACTTTTAAACAAAAAAGAAAGCATGAGAATGATGAATAAGAATACTGATATTGATGTCTTAATTATGTGAATTAAAATTAAACTTTTGCCCAGACCAACAATATATTGTGTAGTATATATACTCACTTATCACCCAGGCACTCTTCCACTGAGATAAGATATTGTGAAGGACCTGCCACTCATTCCATGGACCCTGCTGCATCTTCTTAGGCTCTTTGTCCAATTAAAAAAATAGAAAGGAAGTGATGTTTATTGTAATGGATTTTTTGATGCCTCAGTGTCATGAAAGCTAAATATTTCTATAGTCAGACATCTGACGGATCTGATGCACACATACTAGAGGCTATGTAGGCCAGCCCGGAGAGCTGACTTCTCTCTACTGCAGATAAGTAATACAGCATAGTCAGCCTGGGAACTGACTTCTCTCATTTGCAAATCACTCCAATCAGAAAGCTGTACTTCAATAGACTATAAAGCCAAATAATGTACCTACACTAGTCTGTTTTAAAATACACTTATTCATTTTGTTTTTTGAACACATAAGTACATGAATAAGTGTTTTTTTGTATCTGCATGGAGTTAAGCTGCAGTTATTTTATTATGCATTCATTCTGCATTACTAACATATTATCCCACTTTCCTTCCTTCTTCCTTCCCTCCCATAGAATTAGAGACTATGGTCTATTTATCAATATTTTCACCCAAACTTCACACAGCTTGCACCCACGATTCACACATTGTTCTTATTGAATCTTAGGTGAAAATGTGTGACTCTTTGGTGAAAAACAGACCCGCAAATGTTATTCTCAAACAATAAACTTACTGGGTTTTTCATCCGCAAAGCCCCATTCGTGATAAGATGTGGGCATATATTTATTGTGGTTATCCATTAAAATAAAGTCCCTCTGCTTTGCATCTTTCTGGTGTACAGTTTTACTTGCCCCTAAACCACATACAAAAATAGATAGATAGATAGATAAATAGATAGATCGATAGAGTAAATATCGCACGGACAGATAAAAAAAATGCTCCCATATACTGTATGTATTACAACTGTGTATTTAGATTTTTTCCTGGAATCCAACTTTAAAGTTGCTTGCAATCTATACACTTGTATAATCTCACTAATCCGTTTCCAGAGTTTACCTGGGTAAAGTTCTTTCTCAAATTCATTCTCAGTGATATAGACATGTTTCCCTGCTTTGGGGTATATTGTGTCATGGAGCCTCAATGGAGGTGGTAATTCATAGTGTTTGACCACCAGTGTTTCTGCTGTCTTGCTTTTCCCACCAGCCTTCTTCTCTTCTGTTGGTGATGGTAAATATCCAGTTATGCTACATGGAACGAGAGATGAGAGGTGAGGGCTTATGGAGGATGTAAAAGGTGATCTGCACTGTTAATATTACAAAGAAAGTGAGAATTAGTGATCCCTGACATCCATCTATAACAATGGTAGTCATTTTGTGTGGTACCTGCTCTACTTTTTGAGGATATTATATACCAAAGTCCCCAGATAGGGAAAGCACTTCAGCTGCACTAAAATCAGAACATGCACTTGCTTTACCTTTATCTCGAAGTTTTGTAATAATTGCAGGTAGCCCCACTGTACCTCATCAAACCACTGGAGCTCCAAGTTGGTTCCTGTGAAGGACTACAATCTAAATACAAATAGTAAACTAAATATGAGATTGTAGTCCATCACAGAACCAAGCTTGGATCAGTGGCTACTTTACAACACACACAGGGACCATGGGGAAGAAAAGTAGCCACCAATTCAGAGATGATTTGAGGATCTACAGCCGAGTGATATACAAATAAGATACATTTTTGTTAATAGCTAAGGTACTTGAATGTTTAAGTACCTTAGCTGAGTTTATGCTTACAATTGATAAACATTATTATTACCAATGGTCATTGAACACTCTAAGCACTTTGTGCTTAGTTTGGCTCAGAAACAACAGCGGCGGATTTTTATGTAGAATGATAGCTATCTTCTGCGCTTATATTTCATTTTTACCAAGATTAGTAAGAGAGATCACCAGACAGATTTGCTAAGCAATTTATAAATTCCTTCTTCTGCATTCTAAAGTAACACTGTGACAATATATAACCTGGCACTGAACATGTCTTCATTTTACATATGTTTTTAGTGAAAATCTGTCTTATCTACTATCGTAATTTTGTTGAGGACCTTTGCACAATCGTGTCAGGTTGCTGCCCAAAGAGAAGTATGGAAACCGGCACTTCAGCTCTCCAGTTGCAATACAGACGCGTCTTTTCATTGACGAAAATGCAGCAGAATCACAATGCAACGTTTCGGGATCTCACGGAGTGTGATTATGCTGCATTTTCATCAATAAACAGATGCAACTGTATCGCAACTGGAGTGCCGGTGTCCATACTTCTCTTTGTGCATGATAACGGCTGCCATCCATTGATCAACGATGCACCCACTTTAATTAATTTGGAATAAGCGGTCAGGAGTGCAATGGGTTCATGGACTTGTACGTGAGGTTGCTGCCCAGGTATCCAGGAACAGGTTTTGTAAATAGGCCAAAAGACTATTGTGTAGACTTAGCTGATTGGGAGGCAACCTAGATGTGCATCTAAGTTTGTAGCTAATTAGCTTGAGAAATGTCCCTCCTAGGCTCCAACTAGAATAAATATGGGCAGTTTTGCCACTGGGGGACCCTGGTTTGAATCCCGGTCATGGCACTATCTGCATAAAGATTCCATGTTCTCCTTGTGTTTATGTGGGTTTCCTCCAGGTACTCCGGTTTCCACTCACACTCCAAAATTATGTTGGAAGGTTGTCTAAATCGGCCCTGTTATGCATGCATGTGAGATAGGGAACTAAGATTGTAAGCTCCTCGAGGGCAGGGACTGATTTAACTGATGTGACTATGCAGTATGTAAAATGCTGAGTAAATTGTTGACACTATATAAATATCTGTAATAAATTATTCATCTTGTTTACTCACGTACTTGTAATAAACAGGAAGCAGGGTTTCAGCTTTTTTTTCTACTATAACAACTTGCTCTTTTTGTATGTTGGACTTTTCTAATTCATTGCATGTTCTGAAGTCTTCCTCAGTCAGGTGCTCCTCACCTATCAGCACTGTAGCCTTATTCAGACCATACTGCTGACAAAACCTTTCTTTGTCTGCCTTGTGTTCTGTGCCGTGAGCCAGCAGCCACTGTGCTGTAGCCTTTGTCAACATCTTCAGAAGAACTTCCTCACTTTTAAATTTAGGTTTCTCTGACTCCGAAGCAAGACTCGGTTTAGCCTTCTCCCTAACCATGATTTTAGCCAGTCCAGTTACATCAGATGCTTTTGGTTGTTCTACCAAGAAGTTTGGTACATTTTCTTGAGGTTTCTTCCAGATACTATTCCCAAGCATAGGGCAACTTTTTGATTTTATATCTCTGGACGGTACAGTGGGATTTAGATGGCATATTTTGTGCCGTTTTGGTTTTATCCTTGAACCTCCTTTGCCCTTTGTTGGTGGAATGATATCTGAGATGTTGTAGATACCTTGTGAATCCCATTCTATGTAGGGAAGACTGGAGAGGCCTCTGTCCTTCACCACCTCTTTGGAAAAATGAAGGTCTCCAGCTACATTTTGAACATATTTGGTTTGATGCTGCTTTGATGGATAATATCCAGGTATAGGCTGGACAGATGTCACGTTATAAGATCTATGTAGCTGTAAACTGGTTTTTGACATTTTTGGAGATGATTCAAGACCAAACACCACCTGACGACAATACGTGGTAGAAAGTTCCATCATGCTTAGCAATATACTTTAAAACAAACACAAATTATTATTATTTTCTTTGTGGTGAGCTATTCTTAACTGCATTTATTTTATGTTGCAACAAAGTAATGTACAGTAAGCTGGAGCGATCGTACTAATTACCCCTCAGGATCCTGCCATTTTATCAGTCCAGCATGTGTTTTGTTCAACAGTAGACCCACATGAAGAAGGAGCCCTTTGAACCCCCAAACTGTAAGAGACTTACCTGCAAGCTGGTACCTGTTCAAAGACATGCACGCACATGTTCATGCAATCCTATGCTAAAAGTTCTGGGCAAACGTGCTTTGGGGCATAGACATGCGCACACGTGAACAATTATGCCCAATAGCGTATGTGCACACGCTCATTAGCAGGTGTGCTTTGTCTATTTAAATGGACAGAAGCCATGATCAAGTTGCGGAGTGGTCATCAGCTTGTCCCTGTGTTCTGTTCCTGTGTTCCTAATCTTAAAGGAGAACTATGAGGTGAGTGATTTTCACTCAACCTCATAGTTCGAGCCGACGTGTGACAATGAAACTGTCACACGTCGGCTCAATCGATCGGGAAGTGAGCGAACACATACCGTGGCTTGCTCACTGGAGGAACGGATGGGGAAGGGGGCGGGCACAGCTGGCTCTGCCTCTAGACAGGCAGAGCCAGCTGTCAATCACGCAGCTGGGTGGATCTCGACAGTCATGTCGGGGTCCGTCCCGGCTGCGGCAGTCTCAGTATACCGCGAGCTGTAGCTCGTGATATACTGAGCTTTGGGTGACAGGAGGACGCTAGTTTATGTCCTCCCCCAAAGGAGAACTTTGGGGAAAAACATTGACCCCATAGTTCTCCTTTAAACCCGGATTGTGACCATTGACTCTGCCTCCTCCTTTCGATTTGGTACCTCAACTCTCTACTCTCTTACTTATGATCCCAGCTTACGATTCCTGACCTTGCTTCTGGCAAAGATTTGGCATTTCAAGATTCTGCTTCCTGTGTATGACCCCCGCTTCGAACCTGACTTCACTCTTGGCTTGCCACCCATTGCCTCATACCCCCTGTACTCTGAGCCACCTCATCCATCCAGTGCTTCTCTGGCTCCATGCCTGTTACCTGAACCAGTTCTGATCCTGGTCCTGCAGACTCACCACCTGGTCCAGCTCAGTCAAGCGCTTCTATGAAACCCGGCCAGCCACCAGTACTGGTGGCTGTGCCTCTCCCTGACCTTACATCCCCTGTCACCACCCCCAGAGGTGTGGGATGAGAGGTGCACAGGTAGCCCCCTTTTCAGTTGGGGCTCCATTCAAGTACGTGACTCAAACGCTTTCGCTTTTTATGATACAAAATGCTGAATACATTTAAATCTGGATTTGATATGCTTTTGGCACTTTCCTCCTTGCGCACCTTGTCCTTACTCAAGGATTTCTTTGCTATCTGTGTGTCCCTGCTGGGGAGATTTGATTTCCCTACAATTTGTTCTCCAGAAACACAATAATAAGTTCAAGATCTGCCTAAAATTAGAGGAAATCCAACCTCTGACAGCTGTCACTGAAATAAGTGTCCTCATCAAAAAACATTCCCTCCACACCTACTCCAACCTTAGAATTTTGGATTCCCAATAGCAGGCTGGCTATCTAACCCACTCACTGCTTCTGTCAATCAGCAGAGGAAGACCGGATGGGGAACTTCAGGTGCACCTGTGTTGATTGACAGCAGCAGTGGGCGGGTGCAATAGCCAGTCTGCTATTGGCTATTGCAAATTGAAATAGCCAATAGAAGTCTAGCTATTCATTCCTCTGCTGTTTTTTTTTCTTTCTGTTTTTCGGCGGCCCCTATGTCAAAGAACAAAACAAAAAAAAATAGATAGCAGGGAAAGGTTTACTCTGCAAGATAGAGCAGAGTAAACCCTTCCGGGATAAAATGTTTCTCTTCCAGGCATCTGGGAGCTGCTATCTTATAGCGGGAGACTCCTGGAATGTCCGGGAGAGTTGAGATGTCTGATTACATCTATCTGAACTGTTTGGGTTGTAATCCCTGCACTACACAGCTAAATAAACCTCAGAAAAATCACAATTCTGCCAGACACAATTCTGCTAACAGGACAATTATAACTAATCATCATATAAATGTGTAAAATAAAAATATTTTGATGAACTCCCCAAACATTAGGAAGAATGGATTCTTCTGAATGTTTAGGGAGTTCATTAAAATATTTTAAAGAGGTTATAAAGAGGTAATATAAAGAGGTTTACCTGCAGAGAAGAAGAGCTCCTAATCTCCGAGTAAATCACAGAAGTGTGATTGTAAACACATTTCCTGCACTAGTAATGACAGACGGGTCAGTGTTGTTTACACGGGTTGCTAGGCAACACCCTCTATTTAGGCTGCCGGGCCCTTTGTGTGTCTTTGTCCTTTGAAGGCCGCTGAGCTTCAATAATAATAAGTCTGTATAAAAATCTTTAGTAACGTGTTCTGTTAAATATGCAACAAAGAGAATTAGCAGTAGGAAAAAATGTCTGTGCACAGCGCTGTCTTCATGTCTAACTACACCTATCCTGAGAAAACATGAACGCCATTGTTGATCTTGCCTCCCCTTGCCTTAGTGCTTTGATTTGGCGACCCTGAACATCCATCATGGCTGGTTGGTGTGAATGGCTCTAAAGGCCAATTCACACCATTGCCTCGCATTAGCTGGCATACATTAGCGCACATTGGGGGGAATTCAAAGCAATTGCGACTGTTTTAGCCTCTTAGATAATTTTTTTATATGTGTAAATCTGTTTAGCCGCTCCTTTTAACATGTGCGCCTGTTTTGACCAGAACTTGCACTATTTTCCCGATTGCATGTGTTTTGCGCCTGCTTTGCGAAAGTTTACAAATGTTTACATCTGCACTTGTCCTGCAGCTGTCTGAAACTGGAGCATAACCTAACAAAACAATCGCAACTTAAGACGTCCCCATGACCACTTCTTCAAGAAGCGACAGTTAGCCCTCATTCACACGAGAAAAGGGCGGCACGTATACCTCCGTGCTGCGTGCACGTCTGTATCGGGCAGCTCCCGGGAAGCACAGGTGCTGCGTGTGATTAGTACGCAGCCCCTGTCCTCTATATGGGACTATGCGGCCGCACGCCGCCCTACGCTCACCCGCCCTGCACGTCCATACTAATCACACACTGCCCGATACGGCCGTGCGTGCAGAACGGAGCTGTACGTGCCCGCTTTTTCTAGCGTAGATGAGGGTTTAAGCTTTTTGCCTGGAGTTGCGAGTCTTCTTCCCTGCTTTCTATTTAATCTAATTTATGAACATTACACTAGCAACATAAATCTGGCACAAATATATCCCATGCCACCATATGCAAGTTGAAACACTTGCAATTGCTATGATAAATTCCCCCCATTATGTTGCATGTTAATGTGCGTTGTGTTAAGGCAGTCCAATAATCTGAATAGGCTGCTCAACACAACAAAAAAGATGCATGACCCATTTCTGAGAGTGAACCACAACGTATGTTAGTTCACTGCTGCAGGATGTGCTGTCCCTCTGCAGGGTGCCTTGAGGTGTTATTCAGAATAAATGGCACTGCATCACACTAACGCATGTATCATGCATTGGCGCACAATACTGCCACACAGTATTATGAATAGGCCCTAAAGTGTATCTAACCCCCCCCAAATAATATAATATAATACAGCTTACCAGTCCTTAGATGTGGTTGCTGCATTGGTTTTCTTTTCTAATGTTTTTCCTTTCATTTTACCCTGTAATCCGGAAACTTCCTGACCTAGGGTGACAACATTCACTCACTGCACAGTATCTATGGAGTAGCAGCGTTGTCACCCTAGGTACAAATGATCTCGGAGATCACTTGTATGCAGCCTGCAGGTCCGCCCCCCACCCGCCTTTCTCCTCGCCGTGGTTTTCGGGGTCCCCCGCTCTTCCGGAGGATCCTGGACCACAGCAAAGTGGCAATAAAGTTAAGTGAACAAAAAGTAATAAAATGAAAAATTAAGTAAGAAATAATAATTAAAATAAAAAAATATAAAAAAGAGAAAGTGATAAAAAAAGAAAAAAATTATAAAAAATAAAGTAAAAGATAATAAGATAAATATTATCTTTAAATTGAATAAATGTTATCTTCAAAAGTGAAAAAGTAAAAAATAATAAAGAAAAAAATAAAATGTTGACATGTTTTGAATATGTGTGTTTCCCTATTTTGCCTAAGGGCTTGTTCACGCCATATCCGGACCAGATCTGCATGAATTTCTGCACATGCAGTGCAGTGTGTTTTGCCGCGTTTTGGGCAATTTTTTGAAAACAATTTTTTTGTACTAAAATGGGCTTTCAGTGCATTCCAGGGCGTTTGCATGCGTTTTGGTACGTTCCAGAGCAGAAAAAATTGGACATGCTGAAGTTTTTCCACATGCTCTGGAACTGAACTAGAGCCCTAAGGCCTTGTTCACACCAAATGCAGACCCGATCTGCATGAGCTTCTGCACACGCAGTGCAGTGGGTTATGCCGCGTTTTTTATGCGTTCCGGGCCGTTTGCATGCGTTCCAGAGCAGATAAAATAGGGCTTGCTGCAGTTTTTTTTACATGCTCTGGAACTGAACGCTGCGGTGTGAACTAGAGCCCAAAATACCATTGGAATACATTGGACGCAGTTTTGATCCGGTCTGTAACTGCTCTGCTCCTGGAACGCGATTGGTGTGAACAAGGCCTCAATACCATTGGAATACATTGGATGCATTTTTGATGCGTTCTGTAACTGCTCTGCTCCGCACTTGGTCTGAACAAGCCCTAAGGCGGCGATGCTGAACGTTTTTTAATCCCCAGCGCCCTAACTTTTTTGCAGCGTTGGCACTTTGAGGCTACATTCACATCAGCGACACTGCGTTCCAGCCCGATTCTGGACAGAACGCACTGCATCTGCATTGCGGCCGGCTCACTAAGTTGTGGGGCAGGAGGGGGCGTGGCGATCCATTGAAGTGAATGGCACCGTAGCCATGCCCTCCAGCTGCAATGTGATCGGCCGCACGGGAACGCAAGGCACATTATGTCTGCGGTCCGGTCAAAACAAAATGATGCAAGCACTATTTTCTTCGGACTGGACGACAAGCATTGCATGCCTTGTGTTCCCGTGCGGCCGGAGAGCGTGGCTACAGTGCCATTCACTTCAATGGACCACCACGCCCCCTCCTGCTTCACAACATAGTGAGCCGACCACAATGTGATGCAGTGTGTTCGGGCCAGAATCGGGCTGGAACGCACTGTGGCAGGTGCGACTGAGCCCTGAGACAAATAAATTGATCTTGCGTTGCAGTTTGGGCACTCAGGTTGAAAAAACTTCACACGCACTCCATAACCCCTCTCTCACTGATTAGATGGCACTTTCTTTACAAGGTCACTGGTACCATCGAGTGACCCGCCTCCTCCATGCCGCCCCCCCAGCTCAAGCTCCGCCCCCGTAGCTGTCAGCGCTCTTGAAGCGTGTTTTGCGCCTGACCCATCTCTATGCCGCCTAGTGCCCGTTGAAACCACGCCCCCCAGAGAAGTCAGCGGTTATGCAGCGTGCAGTTTGCTTCTTGCTCCGGTCCTTCTCCGTGTTCTCCCTGTCTCGCCGCTCCATGTCAGGTGCGGTACAGCTGCGTGTGTGCCCGGAGCGCTGCCTGTTCGATGACCCGCTGCGGGTGCAGGTGAGCGGGCTGAGCCCTGGACAGGAGGTGACCCTCCGCACCGAACTGACCGATGAAGGCGGGGAGCTGTTCACTTCCGTGGGCCGGTACCGAGCCGGGAGCGGAGGAGAGCTGGATATCAGCCGGAGTCCGGCGCTGGAGGGGGGCAGCTTTACCGGCGTAGAAGCGGAGGGGCCCCTGTGGGCTCTGGAGCCCCAGAACGCCCTCAGGAGGCTGGTGAAGAAGGACGTGCGGAGCCCCATGCAGCTTCGCTTCTCCCTCCATCAGGAGCCGCCCGGAGCTGTGCTGGCCACTGCCGTCCAGGAGAGAAGCTTCCTGGGAGAAGGAGTGAGCCGGCTGGAGGTGAGGGATGGCAGAGTCCGGGCCACCCTCTTCCTGCCGCCCGGTAAGTGCACCGAGAGGACCTGTCACCAGTACAATGTGTTAGAGCAGAGGTAGACAAGCTGGGCACCCAGCAGTGCTGAAACTACAAATCCCGTCATTCCTGTGGCTGTCAGTCTTGCCTGTCAGTCTTGCAATGCTTCATGGGACTTGTAGTTAGGCAACAGCTGGCATGCTAGGGAAGCCTACTCCTGAGAGTTTGACCTTGTTCTGAGCCATAGGACGTGTCTCCAGTAAAACTAAATCAGAGGAGCACAGATGACACTTTGTTGTCTGACAGCCGGTATAATATGGATTCTGATCCTAGGCTGGAGTTCAATGGTAAGAGTATAGCCACCCTGCACAACACATTGTTTACTTTATTCTTTTGTGTCTTATTGCCTGGTGTGTGCACACTGGGAGCCCTGCCCTTTGATGTGTTTCAGCGTTCAGTTGGGCTGAGTCATAGATGTATGTTATTATGAAACGTATCAATAGGTCTGGTCCCTAACTTGGCTTCCAGTGTGCACATCCGGAACAATAAAGTTTTATGGAAGCGATGACATGTGACCGCGTGTGTTTTGGTCTTTGTGCTCCAGCCTTCTATGTAGACCTGGGTGGGCAAACTCTAGCCCTCCAGCTGTTGTGGAACTACAAGTCCCATGGGGCATTGCAAGACTGACAGCCACAGGCATGATTCCCAAAGACAAATGCATGATACGACTTTTAGCTTCACCACAGCTGGAGTTTACCCACCCCAAATGTGGAGCGTGGGCGAGCTCCATCCTGACTGCCTTCCTTGGACAGCGGCATTCTATGTGAGCTTTTGGTGATTTTTATTTTCTGTCTCCCTGCTGTAAGTTTTGCTTGGAGCCTTTCACACTGGTACAGACCTAAGGCACCTGCAGTCAGCAGTATTGATCATTTAGAGCCTTGGTTCTCAACTGGTGGGTCATGACCCAAAATTGGGTCGCGACCCTGCGTTCAGTAGGTCACCTCATGCCTTCCTCTTTTCTAGGCGAGTGGCTCCTCTGCCTCCCCCTGGCGCAGCACTGTCAGTTCTTGCACCAAGCAGCCATTCAAAATATGCTGCCCGATACCGAGTGTCAGCTTGAGGTGGGGTGGCCTGGGGGTATGGCTGCAAGGGAGCTCCATTAATACGTGCGTTGCTTATAGCTCCCTCACGTGTCTTGTAGAGGTGCTTGGACCGGAGTGACGTCACATTCTGGCTCCCGGCACCTCTACAGGTATGCATGGGAGCTGTATGAGCAATGCATACATGGATGGAGCTCCGTCACAGCACAGCAGCCCACACTGGATCCGAAGTTAAGGAACTACTCTAGTTCTCGTAAGGTAGGGAGACTGGGTGGATCTTAAAGTCAGTGTTTTTGAGGGCCCGTTCACACAAGTACAGTGCGTTAATCGCACAGTCCCATGCAATTAATGCACTTTACCCCGCAATCACACCTACTGTGCATTTTGGTATGGGAGGTGTATTGCCATTCATTTGAATGGCACCCCAAACACACCTCCCACTTAGTTTAATCACCTGCACTACAGTCTCAATACAAATTAGTAAACTGAACATGAGATTGTAGTCCATCACAGGAGTGAGCTTGGAGCAGTGACTACTTTACAACACACAGGGACCATGGGGAACAATAGTAGCCACCCTCTAGAAGGAAGGACAGTGTCAGCACTTTTGAAGATCTACAGCCGAGTGATACACAAATAAGATACATTATTGTTAATAGAGTACTTGAATGCATTTTTAAGATTTAACTTCTAAGTTTAGTGTCACTTCAAGCAACACATTTCTGTCCCTCCTCCAGCCTGTGATTGGACAGTGAAAGGAGAAGCAGCAGACTGATGAGCTCACCTTTCTGTCACTTTCCTCTCACCTCATTCAGTGTAAGCGCTGCAGAACAACCGATCGGCTCCTTGTTCTGCTTCTCCTACTCTGAGCTCTGCTGTATGGGGACCGTCAAAGGCTGATACCAGGTCAAATTCGTCGACCATTTCGTACCTTGGGTTGCATTGTTTATTATTACTGTTGTCAAATATGTGATTGTTTTGTCTAGTAGAGTGAAGGAGATCCCATTACAGGTGTAGTAGTGTTTGAATTCTACTTTTAGGACCTGGACCATTTCCCGGAGTGATTGAAATTCCCGGGACAGGCGGAGGACTCCTGGAATATAAAGCTAGCCTATTGGCCAGTAGAGGGTTTGCCACAATGGCGTTGGCGTACTACAACTTTGAAGATCTCCCAAAGCAAATGAAAACTTTTCACTTGGAGTACTTTGAAGAAGCTCTGAATTACATGCTGCAGCATCCAAAGGTGAGGGTCATTGCGAGGGGGGGGGGGAGGGGATATATTTG